ACAGATGAGAGCTCTGTTCAAGCTCTAATTGATGCATGTATTGAAGAAGATGGAAAACTCTACCTGTGTGTATCAAGTCCTACTATCAAGGATAAGCCAGTAAGTGCAGTCTAGCATAAGATAGCTTCTTGTTTTTGCCATTTTTCATCTGCTCTATTTGAAAAATCCACAGATCTTCTGATCTGTCTGATATACTTATTGGCATGTTTGTAAGTAACATCTAATTTTAGAAGTTTTCTTGTTCTTGAGCTCTTAACAATGAAATTCTGTACATTTGTACATGTCACTTTGACACTGAATTTTTCATTAGTTGAAATATTGATAAATCTTTCCTATCAAAAGACTTTGCATTTGGTAAGGTAGCCGAATTTCTTCTCAATAATAGAAATCAAATGACAAATATATGTATGAAGGGTCTTCAAAATTTCATGGAAAGTGCATATTATGAAAAAATTACACATGGATTTCTTTTTGTATTTTTTTTAAGTATTTTATTGAACTTTATATAATTTAACTTGACAAGAGAGGGACTGAGTGAGAGAGAGAGAGAGAGAGACAAAGAAAGTGAGAAAACAAGCCGACAGGTCCAGGACTTGAACCATAGTTGGTCATGTGGGGAGTCCAGCACCCTTAACCACCACACCACCTGCTGGCCCCCAAAAAATTACGAATTTCAAAAGTTTTTCTGTACCAAAGTAAACTTGTACCTTAATTGCATTTATTTGTTTTTTTTAATTTGCCAGAGGATGTGTGTGCTCACAAAGACAGACAGGAAGAGGGAGAAAAGCATCCCTCAGTGGGGCATGGTCAGGCTGAGTCCCTTCTCCATTTCTCCATTTTGCTGGATTTGGGGCATACACACACATGCTCCAACATGTTTTCAAATCCCCTGGAGCCAGGATTCAAACTGCTTGGAGAGTAATGTGGGAGCTGGCTTTCTCCAACACCAGGCTGTAGAACAAGACCCCTTACTTCCATTTTTCCATGGCCTTTGTTTTTGAAGTCTGTTTCTTTCTTCTATGGTGGCAGGGGCAACCCCAACAGGGTTCTTAATCCACAATCCACCCAGTTCCAGTCAGCCCCTGATGATGGGTACACATGTGCCAGATGTGTTTAGGCAAGTCTTTGGGAGTGATCCTAGAACTTTCCCTCGTGGATCAGCCTCAGAGAGTGTTGTGTTACCTTGTTACCACCACCCAGACCCTTTCCATGAACTTTTTGTTTTTTCACTTTGTAATCGGTCATGTGCACTCACCAAAGATGGGAGAGGGGATAAGAAATCACCCCTTGGGGAGGATGGCCATGCCAGTTCCTGCTCCATTCTCCTCTTTGGATTTTGGGCATACATGGACACACACCCGGCATGATTTTCAGGCTACCATGTCCAGGACTTGAATCTACATACTTGGCCCTGTGGGGTCAAACTGCCTTAACCTCTGTGCCACCTGCTGGCTCCAATGAACATTTGAAGTCACCTCATGTATCTTTCTATCTTGCTACTCTCTTTGGTAAAGATTTTACCCAATACTGTCCTGAACATTTTGCATATGGTACTCTCCCAGAAAAGATGAATTGTATAAGTACGTGTACAGATACATTGAACAATTTATTGTCACTCCGCTAGCACCTGGTTGTAAATGGGTTACAGTGCTAGATGGAGTCCTCAATGGGCCCAGCTCAAGCAGTAATTTGTGGAGTTTCTTATGGTATCTTGGGGTTTTGTAGATTGGGAACATTCATTCCAGTGTTCTTGGGCCTGGGCTCTTTATGCTTGACTTGTTTATGTTCCTTGCCAGCTTCATAGGTATTTGGATGTGAGATCTTTGGCCTAGTACTTTTTGCTGTGCTTGTTTGGAAATATCCCACTATCAACCCATAGCCTATGTGTGGGCATTTGTAACAACAAATAAATGCAAACATTTTTACGTGAGATAGATAATTTCTTTTTTTAAAAAAAAGGAATTATCTATCTTTATTATCTTATCTTTTTTTTATAAAAGGAATTATTTCTTTAATTTTATTATTATTATTAATTTGACTAGAGAGAGACAGAGAGAAAGAGGAAAAGTGAGAAAGCAAGCTATCAGGTCCAGGACTCGAACCATGGACCACCACCCAGACCCTTTCCATGAACTTTTTGTTTTTTCACTTTGTAATCGGTCATGTGCACTCACCAAAGATGGGAGAGGGGATAAGAAATCACCCCTTGGGGAGGATGGCCATGCCAGTTCCTGCTCCATTCTCCTCTTTGGATTTTGGGCATACATGGACACACACCCGGCATGATTTTCAGGCTACCATGTCCAGGACTTGAATCTACATACTTGGCCCTGTGGGGTCAAACTGCCTTAACCTCTGTGCCACCTGCTGGCTCCAATGAACATTTGAAGTCACCTCATGTATCTTTCTATCTTGCTACTCTCTTTGGTAAAGATTTTACCCAATACTGTCCTGAACATTTTGCATATGGTACTCTCCCAGAAAAGATGAATTGTATAAGTACGTGTACAGATACATTGAACAATTTATTGTCACTCCGCTAGCACCTGGTTGTAAATGGGTTACAGTGCTAGATGGAGTCCTCAATGGGCCCAGCTCAAGCAGTAATTTGTGGAGTTTCTTATGGTATCTTGGGGTTTTGTAGATTGGGAACATTCATTCCAGTGTTCTTGGGCCTGGGCTCTTTATGCTTGACTTGTTTATGTTCCTTGCCAGCTTCATAGGTATTTGGATGTGAGATCTTTGGCCTAGTACTTTTTGCTGTGCTTGTTTGGAAATATCCCACTATCAACCCATAGCCTATGTGTGGGCATTTGTAACAACAAATAAATGCAAACATTTTTACGTGAGATAGATAATTTCTTTTTTTAAAAAAAAGGAATTATCTATCTTTATTATCTTATCTTTTTTTTATAAAAGGAATTATTTCTTTAATTTTATTATTATTATTAATTTGACTAGAGAGAGACAGAGAGAAAGAGGAAAAGTGAGAAAGCAAGCTATCAGGTCCAGGACTCGAACCATGGTTGGCCATGTGGGAGTCCAGTACCTTAGCCAATACACCATCTTCGGGCCCTGTAAGATTGGCAGTTCTTAATTGACTGAGCTATGGACACACTGAAGTGTTTATCATAAAGTATATTGCAAATATCATTGTTTTTACTTTGAAATGTTTTGAAATAATTCAAGATTTGTTAGTATCAGGATCTGCTTTCTCAACATACACTATTGGGCACACAATCCCATTGTATTGTTAGAAAGTCATGACACATTTTTGTTTTATTTTGTTTAAGAGTTATTTTATTTATGGAGCATTTTTGCATAGAAAAATCTGTCATTATTTTTCCTGATGGCCTAATAATTTACTTACTTAGCACTGTCTACTGATGGACATCAGATACCATGCTAATTTCAAATTATGTAGATATGGGGGGGGTTGCATAGGCCAGAGGCCCAAATAAGCGGAAAAAAAAAACAGCTAACTTGCTCGTAAGTTATGAAGGCCATATTGAGTGATTTGGCTTATAATAAGCAATTAAACTAAACTTTCCACCTTGACTCAGTTTACTCTTACAAATGAAATGAAGGATTAGGATACATTGTTTTTAATAGTTTTATAGCTTTATTGATTTCTGGTGACATGGATTATTGCTTTTAAAATGCAATACTCTGTGATTCTTAAATTATTAAGAATCCCCGCCCCATAGATTACCTGTATTGAGAATGAGACAGTTTGGCTTGCACTCTTTTTTAGGTACAGATTCGGCCTTGGAATCTCAGTGACAGTGACTTCGTGATGGATGGTTCACAGCCACTTGACCCACGAAAAACTATATTTGTTGGTGGTGTTCCTCGACCACTACGAGCTGGTATGATTAAAGAAATGAACACACAAAACTCTCTATCCTTTTCCATGAAAAATACAGACTTTCACGATAAATGCTTCATAAACATTTGAGTGAGTCCAAGAGTGAGAGTTCTAGAATCAAAGTGCCTGGGTTTAAATTCATGTACTCTGCTCCTGGTAAATATCTGAGTGACCTTGGGCAAATTATATGGTTTCTCTAGTTTTCCATTTCCTCATCTGTCAAATAGAGTGCAAAGTGAATGCAGAACTACATAGAGTTCTTTTAAGGATTAAATGAGATAACCAAGGCAAAGTGCTTAGTGTAGAGCCTCCTAGTACCAGTTGTCACTCTTAATCATCATCTGAAAAAAATAAAATGCCCCTTTATAGATAAAATAGATTATGCGTGGAGATGTTTGGTGTTTCTATGCCCTCATTTACTCAACAGCCATTTACTGAGCATTGGAATACAATAGGATTCTCAGCAGTGCCTTGTGTTTTCAGAGTAGTATTTACAGAAGAAATTACATTTGCATCCTCAAGTAATTTGAAGTTTAATAGTATAAGTAAGGAACCAAAAATGAATTAGAATGCAGTTTCAAAAGTTTCATGGAGAAGGAGATACATTCATTATTTCAAGTTTTTATATGAAAAATCAGTGAATAGCTAGTCTGGGGGTAAGCCATAAGATTTGATGGAGATAAGCGTGAAGGGCTCCCAAAGAGTCAGCCAGTTAGTTTTCCAGTGTTTAAATAATTATAGTAAGCAATACATTGTTAGCTGGTAGAACTATGGTGGCCACATGGTATAGAGCAGACACGGCTGAGGACTAAGCCCAGCAGTGTCACTTAACCCTCAGTAGCCTTGGGCAGATTGTCCTCTCTGTGACTCATTTTTCCTCAGAAACTGCTATCTACTTCATAGGGTTTTGTGAAGACTGAAACAGAACATATTGTGAAACACCTAACAGAGCTCCCACCCATAGTTGAAATATTAAAGATGAACGTAACGGACTTGTTGTCATAATGTTTGATTTTCAAAAACTATTATGACATGAACTCGGAGTACACATGAAACAACCACGTGAAATTTTCTGATTTCGAATACCCTCTTTGTTCCTTTCTTTTCTTTAGTGGAGCTTGCAATGATAATGGATCGGCTATATGGAGGTGTGTGCTATGCTGGGATTGATACTGACCCTGAGCTAAAGTACCCAAAAGGAGCTGGGCGAGTCGCATTCTCTAATCAACAGAGTTACATAGCTGCTATCAGTGCCCGCTTTGTTCAGCTGCAGCATGGAGAGATAGATAAACGGGTAAGTCCTAGGCTATATTCTGGAAAATTCTAGAAATAGTGCTCTAAATGTGTCATTACAATTCTCGAATGGGGAGATTTTATGTAACCTAAATTGACAGCTGACATTGATGCCTAGAGGGTCAATTAGATACATGCTCTATAATACACCTAAAAATTTCCTATGAATTTATCTGTCTCCTAGTTTTTTGAGTAGTCAACTAGAATACTACAAGCAGTTTACATGAGTTACTGTAATCTTTCCAAAACTGTCACCTCCATACATTCACTTTGTCAATCATTCAATACATATTTTTGGAATCCTTTGTACTTTATGTTATATCACATGTACAAATGTGAATGCCCTTGAGATCTGCTGCCCCTTTTTTACCCCTGAGATACCATGAATACCTCAGCAAGCCTTAGTTCTCAATGCACTATGGCAACATGCGATTGAATAAGTACATTTCTATAACTATCTCTCTTAGAAATTTTCCGTTGTAACAAATTAAGTAAAAGAAATAATTTTTTCATTTGTAGTCTGTTTTCCTGAAATTAGATAGTAATTAGTTAGCATTATTTTCAGCACTTCTTTTTATTCACCTTTGTTGGATTTATTCTCCAAATCACAATGCTAGAGAAAAACCTCAAAGTCTTGTCTTCTCTTCCAGTGAATTGTATTTGAACTCTTTATTCCACTGTGTGGCTTGCTTATTTGCCCAGATTTATTTCCTATCTTTGTGTTGTACATTTAGCAAATCTTTTAGTGCCTAGGATGAGAAGTCCCTGTCCTTATTAATCTATGTTCTAATAGGTAGAGCTCTATCTTCTACCAGTGCTACTCAAAACCTGACTAGTGAACTGACTGCCAATCTGTAAATGGTTTGCCATTATCAATAGCCTGTGGTGAGATAGCAGTTTACAGCTGAATGTGTTCCATAGCATTACTGAGCACAACCTGCAGTCCAGCTGACAGTGCTTTTCGTAGAAGGACCTGAGTGAAGGAAGCAGCACGTTGATTTATACTCTGGCCTAAGCTTTTTATTTCATGGCAGATTGGTACTTTGATTAGCACTGATATTGATATTCAGCATTCTGAGGTATTATGCTCAAAAAATCTTCATTGATTTTGTCATGCTGTTCTCAATTCGTGATGTGGAAACAATCCAGTCATTAGTGATTTACACTTACTGATTACATTTCATGTCATACAAAGACATTCTACTTCAGTGGCAGTAACAAATTTAAGATAGCAGTGGTCAGCCTATAGGATCACAGAGAAAGGTACAGGTGTAAACACCAGGTGAGGGGTATGATGAGTTGCAGTACACCATGATATGCCTACTTGTTTTTATGCACACTGAAAGCATCAATGACTCACTGCTTGCTCCTCATGTGAGCTTCAGTTGGGTTAGTTAGTCAAAATTCAGATTCCATTTGTGTTCCTGCACTTTAACATCTTCATATCAG